CCCTCCTCTCCTCTCTCCCTCCACCCTCCCTCCCTCCCAACCCTCCCTCCTCCCCCTCCTCCTCCCTCCCCTCTCCCTCCCTACCTCCCCTCCCTCCTCCTCCCCCTCCCTCCTCCTCCTCCCTCCCCATGGCCACACACACACAGAGCCCTTCCCCTCTTGTACCTGTTAGGGGATTTGTTTATTTGTATATTTTGTTTGTTTACTTGTTTACCTCCACAGTAGTATTTGTTTACAACCACACCGAAGTCTACCACACCTAATCTACGCCATGAGGAGGTTATGTACAGTACCAATACCTTTAACTCTCCCTCATTAACCTAACCTAACCTAACAATCGGGGTGTCTGTCTGTCTCTAATGATGAGGTTAATTCGTAATCGTAATCTGCCAAAAGTAATTATGAGCTGTAATCGTAATCATGACCTGTCTGTAATCGTAATCTATCCCCGTACTTAAAATCCGTCATCGTAAATAAAAAAATACCATTAAAATCTGTACTCAAAAGGTATCCATACTGAGCCTTATAATCACCGCCTTCAGCTATTGTCGAGGGAATTTCAGGAAACTTGGTATAAATCGCGAGTACAACTGGTTGACGTCCGTGCGTGCCAAAATACTTCACCTCTGACGGGTCTTGGCAAGAGTGATAGGCCTTTGTTTAATAAGCCACTGCTGTATACGTCAGCCTACTAAATATATAACAATTATACACACGGAGTATTATACACCTATACACACGTGGAGTCTATACATGTGGAGTATTATACACTGATAGTATGCATATGTGGAGTATTATACAATTATACGAACGTGGAGTATGTATACACACGTGAAGCATTATACAATTATACAAACGTGGAGTATTTATACAATTATACACACGTGGAGCATTATACAATTATACAAACGTGGAGCATTATACAATTATACACACGTGGAGCATTATAATTATACAAACGTGAGATTTTACAATTATACACACGTGGAGTATTATACAATTATACACACGTGGAGCATTATACAATTATACACGTGAGCATTATACAATTATACATGGAGATTATACAATTATACACACGTGAGTATTTATACAATTATACACACGTGGAGCATTATAATTATACACACGTGGAGTATTATACACGTAGATTATACAATTATACAAACGTGGAGTATATACAATTATACACACGTGGAGCATTATACAATTATACACACGTGAGTATTATACAATTATACACACGTGGAGCATTATACAATTATACACACGTGAGTATTATACAATTATACACACGTGGAGTATTTATACAATATACACACGGAGCATTATACAATTATACACGTGAGCATTATACAATATACACACGTGGAGCATTATACAATTATACACACGTGGAGCATTATACAATATACACGTGGAGTATTATACAATTATACACACGTGGAGCATTATAATTATACACACGGAGTATTATACAATTATACACACGGGAGTATTATACAATTATACACACGTGGAGTATTATACAATTATACACACGTGAGCATTATACAATTATACACACGTGGAGCATTATACAATTATACACACGTGAGCATTATACAATTATACACACGTGAGTATTATACAATTATACACACGTGATATTATACAATTATACACACGTGGAGTATTATACAATTATACACACGTGAGCATTATACAATAGACACACGTGGAGATTATCAATTATACACACGTGAGTATTATACAATTATACACACGTGGAGTATACAATTATACACACGTGAGCATTATACAATTATACACACGTGGAGTATTATACAATTATACACACGTGGAGCATTATACAATTATACACACGTGGAGTATTTATACAATTATACACACGTGGAGCATTATACAATTATACAAACGTGGAGTATTATACAATTATACACACGTGGAGTATTATACAATTATACACACGTGGAGTATTATACAATTATACACACGTGGAGCATTATACAATTATACACGTGGAGTATTATACAATTATACAATTATACACCCGTGGAGTATTATACAATTATACACACGTGGAGCATTATACAATTATACACACGTGGAGTATTATTGTGAAAATCCATATGTTGTTTGTTTATTTAAATCACGATGTGTTGCGTTGAAGTGGTAATTTATATAGTGTATATAACTGTGTATATTACCTCGTTAAGTGTAGTTTAGGATGGTTGTTAGGTCGAGAAGTTAGTTATAGGGTCTCTTAAGGGTGATTATCCCTTGTAATTACTCTGGCACTGTAGGTGACTGTAGTAAGTAGTGTGTGTGTGTACGTATGGGTCGTGGTTGTTCGTGTGTGTGTGTACGTATGGGTCGTGGTTGTTCGTGTGTGTACTTGTGTGTTAAGTGACAGACATGTGTGTAAATGTGTATGTGAGTTGGTTGAATTTGTGTATGTATGTTGGGTGACTAGTATGTACACATGTGCGTGTCCGTGTGTATTAGGTAAATTTAATAGTAGTGTACATGTATGGCTTTCGTGTACGCACAGAAGCCCTCAAAACCTACACGAACGATAATGTAAAGCGCGTCTTGTGTAACAGCCACGCGCAGCCAATCAGAGCTCTCGCTGATGCAGTAGCCAATCAGAATGAAGATCCAGGTGGAGGTGTGGAGGAGGAATAAGGAGGTTAAAGGGTCGTGTTGACATGACTGGTGGTGGTGAAACTTTCTCCCTGTCACACACACACACACACACACACACACACACACGCACACACACACACACACACACACACGCACACACACACACACACACACACACACACACACACACACACACACACACACACACACACACACACACACACACACTACCATCACTGACACGCACTCAAGGTAATTCTCTCTCTCTCTCTCCACATCTGTGTCTTCCCCCATTTATCATCCTATCTATCCTCTCCCTCCTCTTCTCTCTCCTCCCTCCTCCCTCTTTCTCGCCCTCCCTTCTCTCCTCCTCCCCTCCTCTCCTCTCCTCTCCCTCTCCTCTTCCGCCTCCCCTCCTCCCCCTCTCCCTTCTCTCCCCTCTCCCTCCTCTCCTCTTCTCTCCCTCTCCTCTCCTCTCCTCTCTCGCCCTCCTCTTCTCCTCCTCCCTCTCTCCCTCCCTCCCTCCTCTTCTCTCCCTCGCCCCTCCTCTCTCCCTCTCCTCCTCTCCTCTTCTCGCCTCTCCTCTTCTCCCTCCTCCCTCTTCTCTCTCTCTCTTCTCTTCTCTCCTTCTTCTCTCCTCTTCTCTTCTCTCCTCTTATCTTCCTTTCTCTTCTTCTCTTATTTGTTTTCATCTGTTTGTCAGGGGGAGGGTGTGCTTGAGTGTGTGTGTGTGTGTGTGTGTGTGTGTGTGTGTGTGTGTGTGTGTGATCTCAGCAAGTCTCCGTCACACACACAGTCGTCATGTGTTAAGACTTTCACCACACCTTGATCCCTTCTCTTTCTCACACCCTCTCTCACACCCCTCTCTCACACCCTCACACCCTCACACCCCTCTCTCACACCCCCTCTCTCACACCCTCACACACACCCCTCTCTCACACTCTCACACCCTCTCTCACACCCTCACACCTCTCTCTCACACCCTCTCACACCCTCTCTCACACCCTCTCACACCTCACACTCTCACACCCTCTCTCACACTCTCACACCCCTCTCACACCCCTCTCTCACACTCTCACACCCCTCTCACACCCCCTCACTCACACCCTCCCTCTCTCACACCCCTCTCTCACACCCTCTCTCACACCCCTCTCTCACACCCCTCTCTCACACCCTCTCACACACCCCACACCCTCTCTCACACCCTCTCTCACACCCCTCCCACACCTCTCCTCACACCCTCTCACACCCTCTCTCACCCCTCTCTCACACCTCTCCACATTCTCACACCCTCTCTCCCACACTCTCACCCTCTCTCCACACCCCTCCTCCACACCTCTCTCACACCCTCTCTCCTCTCCCACCTCCCTCTCACCCCTCTCACACCCCTCTCTCCACCCCTCTCACACCCTCTCTCACACCCCTCTCTCACCCTCCTCTCACCCCTCTCTCCCATTCTCCCACCTCTCTCACCTCCTCTCACACCCTCCCACCCCTCTCTCTCACCCCCTCTCTCACACCCTCTCTCCACACCTCTCTTCCCTCTCTCACACCCTCTCCCACACCTCCACCCTCTCTCACACCCTCTCTCACACCCCTCCCCCTCTCTCCACACTCACCCTCTCCCACCCCTCACACCCCTCTCTCACACCCCCTCTCCCCACCCTCTCTCACCCTCTCTCCCCACCCCCCCTCTCACCCCTCCACCCCTCTCTCACACCCTCTCACACCACTCTCCACACCCTCTCTCACACTCTCACCCTCTCTCCACCCTCTCCACACTCTCACCTCTCTCACCCTCTCTCCACACCCTCTCTCACCCCTCCCACACTTTCTCACACACACCCTCACACCCTCTCTCACACCCCTCCCACACCCCTCTCTCACACCCTCTCTCCCACACCACTCCACCCTCACACCCTCTCACACCCCTCTCTCACCCCTCTCTCACACTCTCACACCCCTCTCCTCCACCTCTCACACCCTCTCTCCACCTCTCCACCCTCCTCTCCACCTCTCTCTCCCACACTCTCCCACCTCTCCCTCCCACACCCCTCTCTCACCTCCACACCCCTCTCTCACCCACCCCTCTCACACCCCTCTCTCCACCCTCTCTCACACCCTCACACACCCTCCACACCCCCACACACCCCTCCCACACACCCACACACACTCTCTCCACACCTCCCCCACACCCCTCACACACCCTCACACCCCTCCCACCACTCTCTCACACACCTCCCCCCTCACACACCCTCACACACTCTCACACACCCTCACACACCCTCCCACCCTCACACCCCTCCCACACCCCTCACACCCCACACCTCTCTCTCTCTTTTTCTCATCCATCAGCGATTTCTTTTCCTCTCCTGTGTTTCCGCACGAGCTGACATTTTGTGTCTGACTTCCCTATGCACCACCTCTCTCTCTCTCTCTCTCTCTCTCTCTCTCTCTCTCTCTCTCTCTCTCTCTCTCTCTCTCTCTCTCTCTCTCTCTCTCTTTCTTCTCTCTCTGTTGACTACCCTTCATTTTGACTTCTGGGTTCCTTCTTTATTCTCTCTGTCTATCTGTCTACTTATCTTTCTGTGTATCTTTGTCTCTTTCTTTGCTTGTCTTTCTGTCTCGTTTTCTCTTCCTCTTCTTCCTCGTCTCTTCCCCTTCCTCCTCTTCTCCTTCCTTTTCTTCCTCCTCCTCTTCTTCCTCTTCCTCTTCTTCCTCGTCTCTTCCCCTTCCTCCTCTTCTCCTTCCTCTTCTTTCTCCTCCTCTTCTTCCCCCTTCCTCTTCTTCCTCCTCCTCTTCTTCCCCTTCCTCTTCTTCCTCCTCCTCTTCTCCTTCCTCTTCTTCCTCCTC